GAAAAATACAATTATTAGTAGATGACAAAACAAACTTGAGACAAGGAAAATCAAATGAGGATTCACAAAAAAATAAAGTCTCATTTATTTAAACTCTCATCCAAATAGTGACTACATAAAGAGCAGAATAAGAGACAAAATAAAAGCAAAGATAGCTCTTAATATGCACATAGGAACCAATTATAGAGAGTAAAAACCAGGTATTGTCGCAGGCAAAGAAAACTCTTAATATCAAAGACGTATAACAGCCTTCAAATTTCCTAAATAAAAAAACAAAAGTAACAAGCATTTACTAAATTCTTTGGCAAATTACATGTTAATATTGTCACAGACCAAGGATTAAGGTTCAATAACTTATGCTATTTTTGAATCGCAACAGCCACTGTATTTATAATAAATATGCCTTAGTCACAATTTAAGGTCTCATATATGCTGGAAAATTACAAGAGCGTCTCATTTACAAACATAACACAATTTAGACAAGTATATATAGTTGAAAATAGGCTTATGCTGGAAAATCACTTGTTGTCCATAAAAGGGCAGCAAGTAACATAATGAAGACACGACAGTTAATTTAATCTTCCCAAACAACAACAATGAAAAGTAAACAAAATGGAACACAACCATATTTGAGATTGTCATGAACTGGAGCAAGAACACAAAAAAGTACAAAAAAATCATAGTAATTAGTCTTAGCTATTAAATCACATTAACCACTGTGCACCTACATATGCATTATATACATAGTGCATTTAGTAGCTGTATAGCAACATTTCAATTTTTAGGATGATTTAGAAAGTATAAATTTATAGTAAATTGGATTGGCTATAAATAACAGAAAAAAAGAAGCAAAGAGGAGATAGAGAGTATAAGGGTACCACAAGCGAAAACGGTAGCTTGATTGGTAGATTGTAATATCCTAGACCCAAATCCGAATCCGAAGCCTCTGTCAACAGGTTCAATTGCGGCAAATAATAACAAAAATCAGTCGACTGCAGGAGACATTAAGAAGCTAACTTGAAGCTAATACTAGCACTAGAAAACTATAGAAGGAATTCTTGGTCCTAAAACTAATTGAGAGCCCTCTTGGCCAATAAGTCAACAAACAATAATGCAAAAAAAAGGAAACTGAATCAATTACTCTCACACAAACAACTCAACTAAACCATGCAAAAACTTCCAAAAGGAAGGAAAAGAAAATTACTCCTATCATATTCATTAATCGGCAGGAAAATCAAACACAAATCAGAGACCACTTGTAGCTTGTTTATATGCAAATGTCTCCTAGAACAAAGTGAAAATTATCACTTTTACAGAAACTTTGTTGACAAGACCCAACCATTTGAAACAAGTCTAACATAGATAGAAAGGAGTATATACCTACCCAAACATCACAATAATTGGGAATTCCATAGCAGGGACCAATAGCATCAGCATAATAAGCTGCAAGACAATAACAAACCAATGATGTCCCTACGAAATGATAATGTGCATTATAAGCTCGAAGACAATGAATAAAATGGTAGCTGTAGTTCTTATAAGAAAATGTTTGCATATAAAACATATGTTTTCTTCTTTTAATTTTGATACTAATCTATACTTGTACCTAATTACGTTACAACTACATATTCCAAGAACACTACATAATCATCAAAACTTACATATTCATTCGATTTATTTATTTATATTTTTTTAAGTCCAAATATAAGCAATTGGAACACCTATTCATATCACAGTAATAATGATACACAACTTTCAGGCTGAGTTCCAAGTTCAAAATAAGCTACTCATTACTTGCGTATAATCTACACCTATACCTACATAATTCCACATACAAACTCACATTCAAGAATTAAAGCAAATTATCTCATTCACTTTCGATATCACTTAGAAACCAAAAGGATCTCAGGCTTTTTAGCCTTACTGGGTGTATTAGCATTGGAGGTAGAACTGGCAGCTGTAGCTGCAGCAGCAGCCTTGCGTGCCCTATTATCTAGCTAAATCAGACTCCTAGTAACCAAAATGGCCTGCGGGTTCAGGTCATGGGAGGCCCTAGCATACAAGCTCCTTATTGCCACTGAAGCTGCTGCTTTCACATCCTCTGTAATCAAATGCCCTAGCAAGCAGTGCCCCAAAATCCTCAATGCCGGCTGTAATAACTCCCATGGCAGCGGAATTCTCACCCCCTGTGGCCTCAACTCGTCATCCCTCCCCTCACTTCGCAAATGCCGAATTTCTTCCACAACATCCTCAATCTCATTGTGACCCCTCGAGTCAACCGAAAGCCCATGGCTATTTTCAGTAAAATTATCAGGTTTTTGGGTAGTAAAATCATCGAAATCAGATTTACAAGGGCAATCCTGACTTGCCCAATCTGCCGAAAATTTGCAAAAATCAAGCTTTGACCAACTGGGCATTTGCGAGATCTGCTTATAATAACAATCAAGGGCAATGCCTACAATGGAAGCTCGTTTAGTAGACTTCACCGCCATCTAGGGTTCGAGAGGAGGCGATAGAACGCCGACTAGAGGCCGAGACGAGGGGTTATTGTTAATGGGGTTCGATTTATTCCAAGGGGGATTTCGAGGGGAGTGATAAAGAGAAGTTTGAGAGAGATCAGGGATTGAAATGAGCATGGGTATACTCGCATGAGCCTTGACTTCAGATGAGTAGAGGACAAGAAGGACAGCTTCGAAGCCGGCGAGATTAGGGGTGGGGGAGATAGCGGATGTGGTGGAGGATGAGTGGATGCGGGATAGATAGAAGGAGGAGATGAGAGGGATATAGCAGAGGACAACGAGGCGGAGTTCGGGGTCAGCGGAGAGGAAGGTGTCGTATAGCCACAGGCAAAGAGAGTCGTCGCCGGAGCCGGATGAAGGGGAGGAGAGGGAAGATGAGATGGAAGAATAGGTGGCGGAAGAGAGGAGGAGGGAGCGGGCAGGGCGGTCGGAGTCGGTGAGGAACGAGAGAACTGAGGAGGTTTCGGGGAGAAGAGTGGAGAGAAGATGGATTCGAGTGCGGGCTTTTGATATGGACTCCCACCAGGAGTGCATCGAGTAGGAGTTATTTGCTCCGGCAGTGATGCGGTGGGGAGCAGGACCACCGTTTTGGTGGTTGAAGGAAGTGGAGTTAGATGGGTTAATCTCGGTGGAAGAGGTGGATGAAGAAGGGGATCCACTCCTACCACTATAGCTAATTAAAACCTTCACCTTCGTCCCCAAACTCAATCTCTCAAACCCGTTTCCACCACCAACCCCGCTGAAAACCTTTATCTTGCACAATAAAAAAATGAAGTAATGGTATTCACAACTAAAATAATTCTAGTGGAGATGATTTCGCCCATAACTCAAACAATATCCAAAAAACTTGGGCACAAATTTTCATATCAAATTAACTGATAATCATTCTAAATTAAGTAGTCACAAGTTTATTTACACTAATGAATTATTTAATTATTCAATTATTTTTATTCTAATGAAGTTATTACATATACAAGAAAATTAAATTAACAAGGAAGCTCATAAGTATATAACAGTTAAAAATCATTAGAGAACACATAATGATTACAAAAAATTAGGAGTAATAGTTGCAAAAAACAATAAATATTTTAAATCAAACAGTGACAAGACTAGGTTGTCACTAACGGCTATACAATGTTATCAGTGACAAAAATTGCAAAGTTGTCAAAGAAAGTGCCATTAATACTGACAACTTTTAGAAAGTCGTCACTATTGCAGTTCCCGCTCTCTCCATGACTCCTAGCGGGAATCGAATTGTGACGACAATGCAAGGTCGTCACTGATGTATTGGCTCCCTTGACTCAATTGTGACAACTTGCTGTATTGTGGTTAAAGGACCCCATTCTGTGACGATTTTTTTCGTCACTGAGAAATGTTGTCACTAATGATCAAATTTCTTGTAGTGCTGGCTCCAATATCTTTCCTCCAGCGAGAGTGCCAGACGGAGCTCTGCCTGTGCTTTTCTTAGCTCCAAATGGGCTTCTTCCGAGTCCTCCCTCTCCACCCTCTCCTCTGCTACCCCAATCGCGACCTTCGTCCTTCGAGCAGCATCCAACACATTCCCAAAAACTCCTTTATTCCATGCTTGAATAGCCCGTCGCGTACGCAACAACTTGGTACACACTGTTCGCAGTGGGGAGCCACCGACCTCGTGTTGCCAGGCACTCCGAGTCACATCCAACAGAGATGTCTTAGACGTCCACACATTCAAAAATCGGAAAGGTCTCGGTTTACTATCCACCCGTGTCTTGAAAGCAATTTTTAACGGCGCATGATCAGAGGGATGCCTAGCGAAATGGGCCACAAAGATGGGCTCTCTCCAATCACCATTTACCAACAGCCTATCCAAGCGTTTCCATATTCTAGCTCTACCCCTTCTCTCATTGCACCACGTGAAACTAGAACCTAAAAACCCCGTATCAAACACCCCAGCTTCCTCCATAAATGTCATGAGCTCCAAGCCCTCTGAGGTGCTAAAAGGTTGGCCCCCACGCTTCTCATGCGGTGCCATAATTACGTTAAAGTCACCACATATATACCACGGGAGCGAAATGGGTTTATCACCAAGGAGTGCCTGCCACAAACCCCTCCGCTCCCCAACTGTACACTTAGCATGCACAAATGAAAAAATAACGGAATCAGGTAGTCACGGATGTTGAATTGACATCGAAACATGTTGATCAGAGGTCCCAATTATCACACATGTGATGGGTGAACTATAAAACACCCATATATTTGCTGAGGCATTAGCCACCACCGAGTCAAAATGTAGACGCAAGCGTATGGAATTAATTTGAGCTAAATCCAGCTTTGGTTCACAAATACCAACCTATTTCAAGCTATACACACGAACTAGTTTAATTAATCTTCGTAGATTAGGTGGTCGAGAGACCCTCTCGATATTCCAAAAAAGACCGTTAATCATGATAGAACCTAGAAAGAATTTTGTGAACAGATTGAAGAAGATCGAAACTGTCTATCCTATGGAAACCTCGCCCGTATACCCCTTGTCCTCGCTATCTTTGCTGCATTCTCGATTACCGCAGATTGATCAATGTTGAGTTGTAGCAGAGATGAAGCCCTTTGCGTCCTTGCCAGCCCTTCTCCCTTCGGAGATAAATTTCCAGCCACACATGGAAGTTGCAGGTTCTCCTCCCCCTCAGCCGCTTTCCCATCCTCACTTGCTGCTGCCCACCATATGGTGCTTACCTCTGCTAAGCCCTCTACCCCTCCCGCAACTGGGTCTGACGCCCTCCCGACGCTGGCAACAGCGGCGCTGTTCTCAACAACATCCTGCCCCCCCTGGGCAAGCATGAACACCTCCTCTTGCACTGAATGCTGCACTGCGTGAAATAAGGCCTGCTCAACAGGCCGCATGCACCCATGCTCCTCCGCCATGAGATGCTTCTCATCACACCCAAGGACTCCATGTGACGCTTCCTCTTGTCGTGCTTGAGTATCCACCTGGCCAGCACCTTGCGCGACTCCCTGCAACGCTTCCTCTTGCCTCGTTTGAGAATCAACCTTGCCAGCATCTTGCGCGACTCCATGCGACGCTTTCTCTTGCTGTGTTGGAATATCAACCTGGACAGCCCCCTGCGTGAGCGACCTGCGCTCCATACCGCCATCCCCACTGGTATCAACCACACGAATTCTGTCAGCAGCTGCAAACTGAAGCTATGTCGATCTCCCCACAGCCCCAGACTGGCCTCGAGTTCTAGGAGCTCCCCGCTCCTCCGTATCCCTCCTGCACTCCTCAACAGAGTGGCCCAGGCGCCAACAAGTAGAGCAGTATTTCGGCAGCTCTTCTTTGGTAATTTTTTGCCAGGCTCCCCTTCAACTGCCACCCACACCCGGGAGCAGGGTGGTTTCAAGAGATCAATTTCAACACATGCTCTGGCCACATTCGGCCGAGTCCCTGCTGCCGTCGTCGTGTCAACAAAGAGAGGCCTTCCAACCGGAGCCAAGATGGAGAACAAGGAATGTTTATCATGAAAATGAATTGGCAGCATTGGCAAGGACACCCACACTGGCGCCAGTGATGACTCTCTGTGGACGTGAAAGTCCATGGTCCAACGGAAAACCCGCATCGAATAACTCCCCAAATGCCAGATACCACGCGTCTATAGCCAGTTGAAGTCATCCTCAGCCGTGCACTTGATGAGGACATACCAGTAGTCCAACAATCCAACCGAAACGTGGTCCTGCAAGTTATGTGTAGCAAGAAACTTCCTGATGTCCTCCAGCACTGGTCTGCCACGGGAAAATTTTCCAACCAGCGCTAGGCGAAAAGGTGCTGCAAGTTCCTCGGCATCTTCCTTCGTGAAGATGACAGCCGCCTCCCCCTTGTACGACGATACCGGCCGCAGCCGAATAGAGGATGGTGCAGGGCTGGAAAATAATTGGGAGAAAGACTTTGCCTTCGCAAGAGAAGTCTTGTGCCCCTCCGCCAGCGGCTGGAGGGCAGCCATTACCGGAGCACCGGAGACCTCAGCCGCAATAGTCCCTAAACCCTATTCTGCTCTTGCATCCAAAATAAAGCTAAAATTAAATAAATTAAATTTAAAATTAAATTAAATAAATGAAATTTTGGTGTCTACACAAGTATTACTTGACTCTTGGGTAGACCCTACAATGTAAATTTGAAGAATCCATCTAGAAGCGCTAGTTTGAAGCATTTAAAAGATTTCATGATTTAGTTGTTCAAAAAAAAAAAGAGCTATTGAAAAATAAAAGTGTGTATACGTGTGTAAGGGAGTTCTTTAGAATTTTCTCTTTTCTCATTTGTATTATAGGTGTAAAAAAAAAATTTCGTTTCAAACATTTACAACAATAAAATTTTTCATCTAAACAATTATTGTTTTGTATGTATTCATGTACACTTCATTCTTTATTTGCTCATTGGGAGATTTCATGATGGATGTTTAAAAATAAGTCTAAGTTGAGATTTTTCAACGTCTTGCCTGAAAATTCACAAGGGTATGTTTAATTTTATAAAATCTTTGCATACACTAGATTTGCGATCCAGATTATTCAATAAGAGCACTCGAAATCAAAAGAGGTCACTCAAATATGAGGGTTTGTCTCAAAAGACCAACTAGATACCTTTTTCCCCTTCATTCTTCATATTTTGCCCACTTATATTAATCCCCCAAAAAATCAGTCACATTGATTAACAAACTACAAATTGGGGTAACCTTTGCTTGAAAAATGCCTCACGGTGTCTAACCAGGCTCAATCCACATCTAAGTGAAAGCAAAAATGTACATTACTCTTGTTTGTTTTGAGAATTTGGGATGATACTTTAGATGTTCGTTTCTCTATCTATACAAATTTTATCATTTGCTCTCTCATTTGAGTCTTTAAAGAAATAATTTCGTTTCAAATAAGAGTCTTAAGATCATTACCCTACATTGGGAAAATTTTCAAATATCCAAAGGGAATGGATTCTCAATGAGTTATTCTTTACTTTGGTTGTCATGATGCGTAAGAATGATGCTCTGGCTATTGTTTCTACAATCTAAACGCTGTTTATCCCTTGCGTTCTCATTTGAGTTTAAATAGGTGGTTCGTTTCAAAAGCATTTATGATCGCACCCCACATTGGGGAAGAGATTGCAGAATTTTTCAAAACAAGCAAAAAATGCTAAAGATTAAAAAAAAAGGAAGAAAGGAGAGAGACTACAAGTTGGGAGAATTTAATTTTGCCATTGATATTTGGACTTCAATATTGAAAAAGAGAGGGGGCATCTATACTCTAAAAGTTAGGGGGGTTTCACTTCTATCATTTTTTTTCTTGGTATTTCAGTATTGAAAAAAAGAAAAAGAGAGAGAAGAAAAGAGAAAGAGAAAAAGAAAAGGGGAAAAATGTGAAAAAAGAGCAAGAAAAATGCAAAAAAGATTCGATGCTAAAATCCCTCTAGTCAAAATGGAGTCCAATGACTTTAACTCCAAAACAGGGGCAATTTTTGTGGAAGAAATGCGATCTTAAGTGCAATGTCTTTGAAAACATTGTTTCTTTTAGCTATCATTTTCAAACCGCATTACAAGCTCATAAAGTCCATCGCTGACTTATCTTTCATGACAACCCGAAATAAGGATCATGCCTCCAAAGAATCTACCAATCACTCGTGATCATAAGTGTGACGCCCCCACTTCTCCCAAGGGCGAACCCAAGGGTATCGGCGGGACGCCTGCCCAACTCTCGCCAGGACTCGGTACGATCCACAATTCAAAAACTCGGAATACTTCAAATAACTTCAATACATAATTAAAGTACTCCAAAATATTTCACACTTGCTATTATTTAGCTTTCAAGCTTAAGTACAACCCAAAGGAATATGTACTATAACCATCCACTATAATACAACTTTAAATTTTCAAAAGAAAGCTATCTAGTACTATTCACGAGCACTCTTGGTCTCGAACCCTGTTAAAGAAAACAAAAAAGTGGGATGAGCTACACAGCACAGTGAGGTTCCAAGACACTCTAGCAGTTCTAATAAATCAAGTAATTGAGCATACCACATGTATGGTTCGGGGTTGCACGTTGGCTCATGAACATGAGACAATTATCATTATACGAGTACTTTGAGCATATCACAGGTATGACACATTAACATGAGACAATTATCATGGTACGAGTAATTTGAGCATGTCACAGGTATGACACAAGATTTGCACGTTGGTACATTTGCATGAAATAGTTATCTCTATGCAAAATAAACACACATTGAAGGATACGGTGTTCCAGTGGAACCATGTCGGTCATCTGCACCTTATAACTTCTGGATCCCCTCGGTTTGTCTGGCCATCACCTTATCCCTCCAGTGGTAATACTCGAGTATACTGAAACGGTGTCCCAGGGTTCCAACCTACCCGACAGAGCCCAGTCCTGGCTCGAGTAGGTCAGTAACCGAGGGCAGGGCTCAGTTCAACTTAGAGCTTACAACATGCACAAGTGATCAAGTAAAACAGTAAATGGTAAATAATTACGGTTAACAGTTAATGGTAAGTAATTACGGTTAATTGGCAGATATTTGCCGTTTTAATAGGCCGCCATTGGCCATTTCCCACTTTTACCGCTTAAGAGTCGAGGAGATTCACTCCAATCGACTTATGCAGCCATAGCATAATTAATCATTTAAACACTTCACGTAAATATGCAATTCAAGTATTTCATGTCGAGTAATTCAAGTATACCTTACTTAACTATGCATGAGTGTGGTAAATACTTATCATGTAGCACTTAACACTTAATGATCATGGAACAAGCATGTCATAGACTTATTCAAATTACGTACTCCTATATGGAACACTCACCTATTCAAAACAAGTGAGTAAGTACTCAAACAAGTGTTTAGGCGTCCACTTCGAGTTCCTCTTGAAGGTCTCCTTGAGCGCCTGAGCAAATAATCATCAATTATTATACACTATCACTTAGAACCCCTAGTTATCAAAGAAAGTTGTACTAGTGTACAATCTAAGGAAAATTCATGAATTGAGCCTTAATTATTTATAATCAAGGCTTGGAAGTGGGTTTCAAAAACACAAGAGAAATCTAATTTTCGCCTTTGAAATCAAGTGTAAAACGGTCTAGCAATATCGGAGGAAAATGGAGAGTTTGAAACCCTCAATTTCCTTTAAGTTCGGAAATTTTAGATTCGGCAAGCAAACTTTGAAAAATCAGATCTTACTCTCTATGAGTCCAAAATTAGAAAAATTGGTACCATTGGAAACTACTTCCAAATACTAAAAGTTTCTAGAAGACACTTTTCATGATTCCAAACGGAAGGTATTGAAAATTTGTCTCAAAGTTGCTGTTTTGGCTTGCGAGACAGTTTCGGGGTTGGTTTTCGGCAAAGTTTGGAAATTCAGTAAAATTCACACAATGCGAACCAGCCTCTGAAATTTGGAACTCAATTACAGTCGCAAACAAAGTTTAAAACATAACAAGCAGAACAAGAATCAGAGTTTTGAGCACCAAGATATAGTAGCTCAAAGTTGCTGAAAAATCGAAACTTTTAGGCAATTTCCAGGTTCAAATCACAAACTTTGGGACTTTTGTTAAGCATTGAAACGGACTCGGAATGGTACCGAATTTGGCAGTATTACACTACCATATAAGAGCTATTCCTCTGTCAAATTTCATGGAAAAATACGTACGGGAAGTCGGTTAACAAAGTCATGAAAGTTTCTAAATTTTCAAGGCAAAGCTGCCTTGTGCTACCATTTCCCTTTTCTAAATCATTTGGCTAATGAAATATGTTCAAACATGGTTCATTTGTGTAGACAATGTCTAAGTAACATTCAGGATACATTTTCTTAGGTGATTAACACCAAGAATTTTGAAATAACAAGTCCCAAGTCAAGATTAGCCATTCGGCTAAGAGAAAAGGAAAAGTTTTCCAGATTCAAAGAGCAATTTCGGGACATCATTTGCATATCAAAATGGTCTTAGAATATCACCAAATTTTGCAAAATTAAACCTCCATATGAGGAATACTCCTCTATCAAATTTCATTTGAAAATTCACACGGGAAGGTAGTTAACTAAACCATCAAAGTTCAAGAAATTTCCCAAGCCAAAACTGTCTTCTAGCTCTTCTTTCCTTTTTAAACATTTTGTCCAATGCAACCAACCCAAATCTGGTTTATTTGTGAAACAAAGTCCAAGGAACATCTAATATAAAGTTTTGTAGATGTTGGACATCAAAGTTTCCCAAAACAACAAGTCCCAAATCAAGCTAGGCCATTTAACTAGCCAAAAGAGGATTTTCAAGCAAAAATCTAGGTCTGTAATTTGGCCATATATTCCTCAATTCAACTTAGAATTGACCGTAGTTGGTGGCGTTGAAAACTTCATTCATAAGGTTACAATTTCTCAGAAGAAATTGTTTTTAAAATCTGTCCACAACTAGCTCATCTTTGAGCATCAAGTTGCAGCTCAAGACGTGGACTCCAGTGAACCAGCGAAACAGGACAGTCATGTTCAAATGAGTGGTACGGTTCACTCAGATGGAGTCTGGACATGAATTTTATACCATTGGAAAACTGGGAATGTCTACTTTC